TTTCTCACTTTATGTATGGGAACATCAAGGCTCAAAGAGACCAAATTATTTGTTCAGGGTCTTATTAATGACTAAGTGACAATGGTCGAATTAAAATTCAGGCACTTTGATTCTTAAATCAAGGAATCTCAACCACTATCCCCTATTGTCTCTCAGTAGTGAGTGCTGGTCAAGTATTTGCTATTACCAATCAATAAATACTTGCTGAAATATTTATTTAATAAATCAATATTTTCCAAAGCATTTATTCATTATTTACTGTATCTCGCTAAGTACCAAATCTTGTCACAGACCAGAGAAATGGACCTTCTTGCTTTCAAGCTTTTTGAAGCAACTTCTCAGATTCTGCCTACCCAAAACATTAAGAAAACAAGGTATAGTAGGGCAGACAATCCAAGATAGCATCTAATACCATAATATCTATCATTTGTATGATCAGATTTTATAAGAACTTTAATTAAAATAAGTATAAGATTTGCTGCAAATGACTGACTTTAATAACAAATACTATTCTTCCTATTTTGTAAGTTTCCTAAAAAACTTTTATTTAGAGGGAAAATAAAACTATAGGTGGTAGCTTTGAAGGTAGTAAGAACACTCTTAATAATATTTTAAAAAATCATACATCAAAATGTATAACACCTACCTCCCATATTTGAGGGTTATATTTCCTGAAATATACAAAAGAAAATTATTCCTTAAGTAACCTGATCCCTACAATATAAAAGACTTAACCTGTTGCTATTTGGCATGGAAGTAAGGGATTATTTTATTGTTTTCTAACAAAATAACATACTTTGTTTACAAAGCAAGACTTCGTTTTCCATGCAGTGTTGAGAAAAAGGATATAATTGTATTCCTTTTTCTACAGCTTCATTCCCTGCTTCATTTTCCATTCTAATCCTTGTTTATTTTCCTTCACCTCTTTCTAATTTACATAATCTTGCTATGTTTTTTATACATCCATAAACTGCCATAAGTTCTTCCTGGAACATAGAGGAGTATAAGTCAATGTCCTGTGAGCCAAGTATAATGATAATGTAAGTTATACATGACATTTTTGCTTTAATGGAATTTGCAAACAGGTAAAATTAATCTGACATTTATAACTGTATGTCATTCACAGATTTCTGAGAATCCTACTGAGTAGACTGTCTGATTATTAAAAAAAAAAAGAAAGAAAAGCTATTGTAGTAGGCCGACTAATGACCCTCCCAAAATATCAGGTCCTGATCCTTGGAACCTGTAACTTCATATGGGAAAGGGGTCTTTGCAGATGTGATTACTTAAAGATCTTGGGATGTGGAGGGTATCCTGGATTATACAGGTGAGCTCTAAATGAAATCACAAGCACTCTTATAAAAGACAGAGGGAGATCTGATGACAGGAGAGAAAGCAATGTGACTCCCAAGGCAGAGATTGCAGTGACTGCCTGCAGCCACCAGAAGCTGGAAGTGGCAAAGAATCAATTCTTAGAGGCTCCAGAGTAAAGCCCTGTTGACATTTTAATTGTGGTCCAGTGAGAGTGATTTTGGACTTCCAGCCTTCAGAACAGGGATGATAAATTTCTATTGTTTTAAGCCACTAAATTTGTAGAATTTGCTACAGCAGTCCTTGGAAACTAATACAGTCATTAATCTAAATATACACAAATGTTAAGTGGACAGAAAATTTTCCTTTCAACATTATAGACACTAGGAAAGACAAAAACAAATTTATTTCCTAGAGTAATGAAATATTGAATGGTAGTTTAATATGGCATGAATTTTCATTTCAAAGGACTGCCATATGTTTCACGAAAATGCTACATTCCTAACCAAAGCCTCTCTCTAATATATCAAATTTCTTAATGAAAAATTTTCTAGTACCAGGAAACCAACTGGGAATGTTGGCCTCCTGTGGGCTTGCCATTCCACACTGTTCTCCAGCTTCTTCTCCTTGAATCCCTCTGTGCATAATCCCACCTCTGTGTTTTTGGTGCTATCAATTTCTCAGAATGGCTTCTTGTTTTGCTGGAAGTAATCTATTGTCTTATAAAGTCAAAGAATGTATTTGCAGAATTTCACTTATGGAAAAGTTTCTAGAACCTGCCACTGCATTTATTGAGCTATGTGTACAAATGTTTATAGCACCTGGTGGTCTCCTGGAAAGCACAGGGAAGATCTCACCGGCACTGTCTACTTAATCTCACTCAAGTTCGCTTGTTTCTAGATCAAGAGGCAAAAAGAGAAGCCATCCTCCCTCTAGATAATTCTAAAATAAACTGTGCTGGTGACAGAAACTTGCACTTAGGAAGCCATAGGCGTCTCTTAGAATCTGAGAGGCAATTCATTTGGTCAGAAACATGTGTCAAGTGGAAAGATTTCCCCATTAATATAAACTGTAAACATTTTGTGAAAAATATTCTTAAAGAACTTAATATGTCTGCTGCTTAACTGACCTGAGAATGAATTACTGGGGAAATGAGGATTTAAGAGGCAAATATCATCCACCTGGTTGTAAAAGTATAAAGTTAGTGTCATCCTTGATACCACCATTCTACATACGCGCCCCAAGTTATTTGAATTTTTTTCTTCCTGAGCATTTCTTAAATCTGTTCACTAGCTTAAAATGCTCTTCTAGCTGATGATCACCTTACTCCAAATCTCTCCAGGGCAACTTCACCTGCCCTTTAACTTGGACTCCCTACCCACTCCTGAGGGGAAGGAATGAGTGGCAAAGTGGGTAGTGGAGAGAGAGAAATGGGGACTTCAGTTTTATTTTTCCTCTACAAGTAGCAGGCTTTGAGTGGGAATGGGGCACTCACTGCATGCAGTGCACTGTTACTGCCTGCTTGATGTTACAAGGAATTTACTGGATTCCTCTCTAGAGAATGGGAATGGGAACTACCTCATGGAACTGTGGTGAAGAAGTGAGTCAACAACTGTAAAGCACAAAGAACAGCAACAGGGACACGGTAAAACGATCTCCACTATTTTGATGATCACCTACTAGGACTAAAGACTTTCAGGATCTCAGTTGGTGCTCTGGGGCCCTCTTTTAAATATCAACATGGAGGCAATTTTACATTTTATTTAACAAATAACTATCTGACAGTTATTTCCTCTACTACAAATTTCATGAAGCAAAAATCAAGTCTGTGTTTGCTCCCCTAACACGGTACTTCGCAAAGGGAAAGCACTGGAATATTTTAGTACCTCTCACAGGTAAAGCAAACCAATGACACCAGGTTAGCCATCTTCAGAATTCAGATGAATGTTTCCCACATGCTGTAGTTTTTCTCCAAATCTCGATGAATAATAGAATTACCTGGGAAGCTTTCAAATATACTCATGCTCAGGTCCCAGAGATTCCAATTTAACTGATTTGGGAGAGGCCAGAATTTAAGACTCTGCTAACAATTCTTTTTCTTTTTTTTTTTTTTTAATGTTTTATTTATTTCTAGGAGAGAGAGAGAGACAGCGTGAGCAGGGGAGGGTCAGAGAGAGAGGGAGTCACAGACTGAAACAGGCTCCAGGCTCTGAGCTGGCAGTCAGCACAGAGCCGGACGCGGGGCTCGAACCCACGAACCGCGAGATCATGACCGAAGCGAAAGTCGGACACTTAACCGACTAAGCCACCCAGGCGCCCCTAAGACTCTGCTAACAATTCTAACATGTAAGGCAGACTGAAAAACTCCAGGGTTGTTCCCATCTGCTTCGGTTCAGAACGAAGGCCTCCAGCCCAACCCCAGCTTTTGAATTTGACAAACAACTCCTACCCTTGGCTGAATTCTCCTATCCAATTTAGATAATGGGGGGAAAATACTGGAAGCAGCCGCTTTATGGGCAGGCTCTTGGCTGATGGAACAAACCAGGCTGGTTCGTACTGTTCAGACAATTGTAATCCTGGCAGCAGACCTGCTGGGTAGCACCAGGACGCTGCACCCACCAAGTGGCTCTCTTTCAGGACGCTTCCGCCCTTGCAAGGGCGAGCGCAGAGGGTCCTGAACCTCTCTCCTTCTCTCCACCCCCTCTCCCCTTTTTTAACGAGCTTTTATTTATTTGAAAAGCCAGCACAGACTCTCCCGCAGTGGGACAGAAAGGTAGCGGTGATTGTTTTCAAAGCTGAAGAGAGCTGAACTCTGGATCCCACCCCTTCTTGGCGTTGTTCCCAATTAGACTCCGCAGTCAGTGTCCTTCCTGCCCGCCTGGAGCTCCACGTCCGCCCACCTCTGGTCTTTGCTCCTTTCTCCATGAACTGCCTTTCTCGCACAGTTCCAAACGGGTTCCCTACCCCTGGTCCGAGTGTGACCCCAAGACACCCGGCTGCCCCAGGCGGCGCCGCCCCCGGCTCCTCTCGGCGGGCTACGCAGGTGGCGGGGAACGCGGCCGCCAGACCGCGGCCAGGGACCCCGCGCGCCCAGGGAGGCAGAGGTCGCTCCCGGACCTGGGAAGCCCGGACAGGCGCATCTACGATCGAGATCAGCGGGCAGGTAATGCTCTCCTGTCTCAAAAGGCAAGTCCCCGCGCAGCGCTCCCAACGCAGCCGGGAGACCCGGGTCTCCACGGAGCCACCACCCTGGCGCGCGCCGCTCCGCCCGAAGTTGGGACGGGACGCGAGCCCACGACTCCAGGCGAGAGGAGGCGCTCTCCCTCCTGCTCCCCCGAGGGCTAGGGGATCGCCTTGCGGATTCCAGACCCTGAACAACAGGTCCTTCGGGCACCTGTGAGGTAGGCGGAGCGGGGGGCGCCTGGCTGGGAAAAGAAATCGAGCACTCTGTGAACGCATTTTCAGCAGAGGGACCTCTCCATTTAGCATCTCCTTCACCGGCCCCAGGCTCACAGCAAATCCAGAGTTTGGGGAGCAGGGATTATCCCGCAGGTGCCGATAGGAGCGGAGTCGCCGACCTGTGCAGATGGCACCCATCCGCTCTGTACGAGAGCAAAGTTACCCGGTACCTTGAAAGCGCCTTTCTGCGCTCCAGGACCCGACCCTCAGGGCGACGGGCGACCACTCACCTTGTGCCTGCGCCTCCATGGTGGCCGACCTCCGACTGCGCGCGGCGAGGCTGCCGGTGCTTCCAGAGAGGCAGGCAGCGGTGTCCGAGCCTGGGACGCAGCTGGCCCCGCCGCCCGCGCCCTCCCCTTGCGCGCCTGTAGCGAGCGCTGCGTGGAAGGGGTGGGGGCCCGGGGACCGCCCCGCACTGCCGCTTGGGTTAGCTCCGCCGGGTCCAGTGGGTCCACCTGGCCCCGACCACGCGGAGAAGGAGCCCACTGCTGGGCGCCACCTGCCGACCGCTCTGCGCATCGCGCCGAGGGCGCCCACTCCTGGCTCAGGGCGCGTGCTCGGGCCCTGCAAATAAATGCCTGACCCAGCTGAAGTGGGTCCTGGAGCCCCCTGTCCCAGGGCCAATCCCCAGGGAGACGGGAGGGAGGGTGGATGCACAATACTGAACCAGAGCTCCTGGTGGAAATACGGAGTTTGGATCCTGTGACCCTCTGCACTCGACATTTTTGGCAAAGGATCAATATATAAACTTGCTTTATGTGTGTTTCTGTTAAAGATACCTTAGTTATGTCTTGTCGACTCATTAATTTTGAGCTCAGGGCCATCATGACTATAACTGATACCTGAGTGAAGTTTATTAAGCTTATTTAACTAAGCAACACCTCATGGGGGCCATTTTAAATAGCAAAATCACCTCCCCACACACACCAAAAGCACAAAAATGGGATATTTGTAGTCTGTGAAAAAGCACTTGTTCAGAGTCTGAGAGCTGAAGCAAGGTAGAGCTTAGCCTTGTTTGACCTCAGCTGGAAAGGTATGCAGGCTTGGTGGGCCCAAGTTTTGGGGGCTCTGCCCATGTCTGGAATGACCATGAAAGCCATGTATTGATTTTGCTGTCACAAATAAATTTTAGTAAGGAGGCAAACTCACAGATATAGAGTCTTCAAATAATAAGCATCGACTGTGTACATGTTTTGTAATTTGAGACCTATAGACCATTCCTGTAGGTTGATGAAGCAGTCACATTTTTAGAAAAAAGGCTAGAAACTGACAATTTTGTTCCAAGCCTGACCTGGCAATAACATTAGAGAAGAAACATCAGCTCGTGGCCCACCTTTTCAGATCTTTAGTCCTTACAGATCTCTTTCTCTTTACATCCACAAAATGCCCATCTGTAAAATGAAAGTGTTTATTTACATCTGGCCTTGAATGGTTTGCCATTATTTTTTTCAGGTTTTTTCCTCTTAAAATAGATGCTGAAGTCTGTCAGAGTCAAGTATGTATCGCCTATCAACACCCCTCTCTCGTTTCCCACCAAAAAGCCTTATATAAATTCATAGCTGAAAAAAATATGTATTGAATAAGCCACTAACCAGTAGGTTCCTTGTGCAACCATGCTCAGGTTACTGTCAAGGTATAAACTAACAAACCTTAATGGGGTCTTACACTTTTGCTTGAAAAAAAGTACACTTGTGATTTCACAACACATGTATAAGCATGGCTGGTGGGTTTTGTTATGTTAAAATGTCCCTGGTTTATAATCAGCAACATAAAAATGACTCTACAGACCACTAAGCACTGGGCCTTTGGTGATAGTGACCATGGATGCACAAAGTAATAAATCAACAACCCCGATTAAATCACTTTTAGAGTCTATTTAGTTGTTCTGGTCCTCTCTACCCTGGAAATTAAACACCAGGTTAGAGTTGACTTCTAGCTGTTGAAAGGAACTAAAAATAGTTAATGACTTTCTAGCTTGAGTCATCTAGCCTTCATCTAAGTTGTGACTCATTTTTCTGATTTATAAAATTTTAAGCCACTACCCCCATGTCTTTTTTTCATTGTTCATAATAATAAAATACGGATATTCATTCAGAAATATTTATTGAATATATTCTCTGTGCCAGGGACTGTGCTCGAGGCTAAGCATACAAGTAAAGGACATGATCCTCTTTCCCTGGATCCCATGGAGTTCATGGTCTGGTGAGAAGGAAAGATAAACAGGTACTTTATAAAGCAACGTAGTGTGGTAAGTGCTGTGCCAGAGGTAGTGTGGTAAGTGTTGAGCATGTAAGCACAGAAGACATTCTCCTAACTCAGACCCCTGAGGAGATAAAGGAAGGTTTCTGTGAAGATGTTTGCCTCAGCTGAGTCTTGAAGGATGAAAGAATTAACAGGTATGTTCTGATAGACCCTAAATAATGGTTTAGCCAAGGAAGACTTTGCTTTTTCTTTCCTTTTCCTTGTCACATAGGATGGTGAATTTCAATTTCCTTAAAGCTTAGCAGAACAGCCACCTAGACCCTCTTGTTCTTCATCTCTCGTGGCTATTCCACATGGAATACAATGAGTGGGTGTTTGATTAAATCGATGGGATCCTGGTTTGTTCCTCCAGAATTGATCTTTCTGCTGATGCAGTGGAAATCTTAAATGTCCAAAGGGAAGCTGTATTCAACAGTCCTCGTCTAAACTAGTTCCAGGTCACTTGTTCATTAAGGTGCTGAGGGTGCCCTTGGGCAGTGGGAGAAGAAGGAGTAAGAAAAGACAGATAAAGTGGACTACTCTTGTTCGTGAACCTGACGAATACATTAAAGAAGAACATGGGCTTCAGGGCTCCACTCGATCTTTACACTGAAATTTCCTAGCTATGTAACCTGAAACAAGTTTCTCAGCCTCTCTGTGCCTGGCCTTCTGCATATTGTGGCAGGATGTTATATGAGGTTTAGTGGTTATCTTCTTTCCCTCCAAGCCTAGTGGCCACCTGTGTTTCTAGAGCAATGGTCCCAGCCCTCTTATGCATCAGTGCCACACAAGGGGCTCCTAAGCATTTCTGATAGCTGGGCCTTGCTCCCCAGATATTTTGATTGTATTTGTTTGTTTGTTTGTTTGTTTTTGAAACTTTCTCAATAATATCAACATAGTTCTAAGGTTGAGAATGAATGTTTGAGAAAATGTCCACAGCAAAGATGAAAGGTACTAAACTCTTAGCTTTTAAATTTTAAAAAATTGCCACCCAGGCCAACAGAAAATAATAAAAGAAATGTGAACAGATAGAGCAAGGACTTTTTTTCTGCCTTTCCCTGCTTCCAGGGGAATTGGGGAAGGAAGACAAGTTTGATGGAGAGCTTAGATGCGGGTCTGTCTGTATGGGTCTGTCTGACCTTTCCCTTCCCTACCCTCATCAGCATACAAGACTGCCCTTGACAGTCCCATGGGGAACTCGATGGCCGGATAGTTTTGAGAAATGTTAGGGGGAATGTGGCTGTGACCTTGAATTTCCCACCTTTTCAGGTAGTGTAGGAAATCATCTAGGAGTTCCCTTGAGTCCCATGTGGAGTGCGGATCTTCGGGGAGAGAGAACCAGCTAGTGAGCCATCATTCCCAGGAGGCTGGAGAAAGAGAGACTCCGAAAGGGAAGGAAGCAGCTCAGCAAAGTCCCTTAGGAAGTTAGAAGGTGTCTTAAGGGAGAGGCAGGGTCTAGGTACGAGCTCTCCTTAGCAGAGGACTGCTGGCATCACCACATCATGCTACCAAGTAGGAGGAGAGAAAATGAGGAGAGTTTGGTGAGGTATTGTTCACAGAGGGGACTGGGACTGCCTTCTCCCCATCTGCACAAACTCCCCAGTCTTCAGGGGGACTGGAATGTGGCTCCTATACAAGTCCACTAGCCAGAGAGTTGGGTGTGGAAGCCATTGGAGATTAGTGGGCTGTGGTCTTGCCAGGACCACTGAAGTAGGAAGCCAAGAAGGGAAATTAGAGGAGTGCCGCATGAGGCCACCAGCTAGGGGCCACCAGGGCCTAGGGGAGCCTGAATGTCTGTCAGTCTCATCCAGTTAAGTATGGAGTCATTTGGTTTCATCCTGTCCCTCTCAATCCCCACCCCACACTTCACAACGAGGAGCTAGTATCTGAAGGAGAGGAGGCAAACAAATCAGGCTAGCTTTTTCTCTGTAACTCTCTCTCTCTCTCTCTCTCTCACACACACACACACACACACACACACACACACGTGCAAAGAGGGAAAGAGAGAAAAAGAGAGAGAGAGAGAGAGAAAGGTTTTCCAAGCAGTGCTAAGAGAAGGGAGAAGAGGTTTACTTTGAGACTGAGAAAAAGACTAAATCATATACCAACTTAAGACTGTCTACCAACCACAACTAACTGAGATTAATGAATCAGAACCACTGCTTATAAAGGAGCCATTTCCAAGCCAGTTGAGGGAAAAGTAATTACAAAAGTACAGGGACTCCTGGGTGGCTCAGTCGGTTAAGCATGGACTTCAGCTCAGGTCATGATCTCAGAATTCATGGGTGAGTTATGGGTTTGAGACACAGACAGAGCAGAAGCTGCTTGGGATTCTTTGTCTTCCTCTCTCTGCTCCTCCCCAACTTGCGCGCGCGCTCTCTCTCTCTCTCTCAAAAATAAACATTAAAAAAAGTACAAATATTTCATGTTTATCCCTCAAAAACCTGAAACCTGTCAATAAATTGGTTACACTATATAAAATTATTTGCAAAAAAACCCCTATTGGACTCATTTTGCTTTTCTTAAGTTCCTCCAACATTTTTAGATAGTCCCTAGATCCATAAAATATTCATGGATGTTCAGAGGATTTAGAAGATAAAGATGCTTCTGTTTCATTATAAAGGGACATTATGTAATTATACTCTCCAGCCCCTACACACCTGAATACTAAAGTTACTCCTTTAGACTTTTTTTTTTTTAATATTTTTATTTATTTCTAGGAGAGAGAGAGAGAGACAGCGTGAGCAGGGGAGGGTCAGAGAGAGAGGGAGACACAGACTCCGAAATAGGCTCCAGGCTCTGAGCTGGCAGTCAGCACAGAGCCCGATGCGGGGCTCGAACCCACGAACCGCGAGATCATGACCTAAGCGAAAGTCGGACGCTTAACCGACTAAGCCACCCAGGCGCCCCATTTTAGACTTTAAACCTTAAAAACATATCGTCATTTTAAAATAGCAATCTCTAAAATGCATTAAAAATGTATTCATGTTTTAAGGTCTTAATGCAAGGGTTCTCAACCCCAGCCCCGTTGACACGTTTTACTTGGGAATTCTTTGTCGTGTTGTAGGACGTGCAGGAGAACCC